GTGACAATCAGCTTTTCTGGAAAAGGCTTGTGTCTGGGCCACTGTAGGTCCAGGGAGGAATTGGGGGGCTGGCAGTAGTCCCTCACTCTGACTCAGAGACAGGGTGGGTAGTAGTGGGATCAGTGTCATTAGTCAGCTTTTGGGACTCAACTACTTCATTCCCAGAGCAATGCCCAAGTAAGGCAAATGGGCCACTGATGTTCATGTGGCTCTGACATGTCCAAGAGGTAAAGCTTACCAACCAAAGTCCTGGAAATAAGTATTACTCCTTCTCTTGATATTATGAGCAAAATAACAAAACAAAACAAAACAACAACCCCCAAAGAAATAACTCAATGTTCCCAGCAACCTGACAATCAGTTTTTCTGGAAAAGGCTTGTGTCTGCTGCTATTTTGGTAGTCCTACAGTACTTAGTCCAGTGAAGTAAACCTAGCAGGCATTTAATAAATAGTTGGACAGCAGGGAAATCTTAATGTAAAATATTGTTTTGGCTGGGGGAAGGGGAGAAGGCACAGAAGAACATTTACCAGGTCAGGTCCTCTGGTCAGAAACTGGTCTCTCCTTTGTGGAGAAAAGGCTGAAGACACAATAAGATTCCTAGAGTTAAGTCTTATACTATTTGTTATTAAAGAGGCAAGGTCTTAAGATGTACTTTTTAACAGTCTTTAGTTTGGCTGTAATTTAAGATGACTTTTACAAATTAGATCCTAATCCTTGCAGACACAGATGGCTGTTACAGAATAGCCTTGCAAAAACACTAGTCATTCGACTTGAAAGAGCATTCAGAGAAGGATGAACGGACATTAACTCTCACCCCATCCCTGGCTCTAGGAGGCCTACAGAGTCCTGGGTGGGCTTCCCGGGTTTTGGTCTGGAATCTGGGTGGGCTAGGGCACCTGTTCTCATTTGGAGAAACCTCTCTCATTCACTCTGGAACCAGAGATTTAGGGGAGCCTGAGGTCATTAACATTCAACAACAGTTACTAAATGCTTATGTATGAGGCAACATGATGGGAACTGCAGGGGAGATAAACATGAACATGATACAAACTGTCTCTGAAAATCTTTATAGAATAGGAATGAGAGGAATGTACAAACTGTAATAGTACACAGGTGGGGAGCTTCGGAGTAGAGGGAGGGCTTCACAGAGGGGATGACATTTGAGCTAGGCATTAAAAGATGAGTTCAAACAGGGCTCCTGGAAAAGGAAGGCCTGGAAAAGTGCGGAGGGTGGATATTTTCCCAGGAAGAGAAAACAGAGGCATGAGGAAAAAGGACAGAGGTGTAAGAGTCTCTTGTGCGTTTAGTGAATAGTGAGCAATCTCCTATCTCCTGGTGATAGAAATAAGTAATGAGAGGCAGGAAATAAGGTGGGAAAGGTGGAAATGGACCCAACTGTAAAGAGTTTTTAAAAGCATTCTAAGGGGTCTGTACTTATCCTACAGTAATAAAAAGCTTAAAGAGTTTTTAAGCAAGAGACGGAATGATCAGAGGGGGGTTTTGGAAAGATCACTCTGTAGGAGATAATTTCAAGTTGACCAAGGACCATAAAATGGACCTGTGATGAGTATGAGGAGGCTCTCAATTCCTCCTGTTGGAGCAAACCACTCTGGTTAGACTTTTTCTTTGGGGAACTGGGCCAAACTTGGACTAAATTGGTCTTGAGATGGAGACAGAGGTAGAAATGGGGTCAGGTGTGAAAGGGACATTGGGAGAAGAGACTGTTAACCAGATTGAATAGCTTCCTTTAGCAGCATAAAACAAAGGGTGAGTGATGGAGAGTTAAATCAGGAGAAATTTTCTCTAAGACTAAGTGACTGATTCTCCATTTAGGGCGAATCCATACTGACACAACACAGTACATACTGCAAGAGCTGAAAACTTGGTCAGTAGACCTCAAGGCAGGCAAGTAGCAGGCCCAAGAACCCTCTGCATTTCATATCACAATTCCCTTGCTTCTTTTCAATGGCAACTTTCTACAGTCCACAATTTTACCATGTGGGAAGAGGTTAATACTGATTTTAAAAAACATAGCTCCTTTAAGAGATACTCTCCCCTGTCCCTGTCAGTAGTCAGTTTAAAAAAATAATTTGAAATAAAATAAAGTTTAGTTTTAAAAGCCAGGAAGGTCCTTAGACTCTTATTTCTTCAGTATTTTCATTTTACAGATGAGGCACAGAAGGGGAGTAACTTAAAACCAAGGGTTGGGAAAGACCAATACATTTCCCAAGTTTTCTAAGTTCTCCAAGGTGAGATGTTCATCCTGGAACATAAGGTATGAGAACCAGGCTGATCTTCAACACTCTGATAGCAGCTCTTTTCTAAATGTTAACACACTTAGACTTCAACTTTCAGTCAGTCTAAGGTACTTTCTTACCTGGCTGTGTGGAAAAAGCATGTGCATGCATGTGTTCTCTTGTGCATGTTTGTGTGTCTTTTATTTGAATAAAGGGGAAGCACTTGGAGCAGTAGGCAGGGCCAGTTAGAGAAGAACCAGTGGCCAAGCATCTTGGGTCCACTATACCTCCTGAGCTCAGACATAAGTGGCAGGATCCTCATCCCACCCAGAGGGAATTTGTGGCTACGTGGTGGAGCTAAAAATAAACCACTGGTTTCTGTCTCTACCCTGCAAATCTGACAGCCAATGTGAGGAACTTAGATGAGCCTTAACTAAATTATTGGTTTTGGTATGTTAGATGAAGTCTAGGTTGCTAGACCTAGATCATAATGGAATCACAGAATATTAAGATTTACTATGTATCTTAGGGTTACGCTAGTCCAAGTCCCAACACATATAAAGCAGGAACACCTGGAATGAATCCTTCTCCATATATATCCACTACTGCTGAAAAGAGTAGTGCTTGGTAATCTCCAATGATAGGAAAATGACTACTTCATAACACAAGATATTTCTTCGTAGAAAATGCTTTCATACATTATACCAAATTTGTCTCCTGTAACTGTCAACTCACTGGTCCCAGTTCTGCCTCTGGGTCTTCACAAAGTCAAATCCCTCTTTTACATGTCAGGCCATCAAGTAGCTGAAGACAACAATCATGTCTCCTATGGCCTTTCCTTCTCTAGAGGTAATGTTCCTGAAATGACATGATTCCCAGTTCCCTCCTCTTCCTACAAGCCCTTCTCTAGACATGCCTCTGTTTCTTCAGGTTTCCTATTTCAGCATAGTCTAAGGACACTTTCAGGGGTAGTTTATTTAGTGCAGTTAAATAGGACCATTAAGTTATCCTCTTGTTGGGATTATACTTCTAAAAATGCAGCTAGCTTTTTTGCTGGCAGCCACAACACATTATTAATGTATGACAGTACTTCAAAAACTCTGTGGAAAAATAGAATTAAAAGGTAATATGGGGCCGGCCCGGTGGCGCACTGGAGAGTGCGTCTGCCGCCGAGGGTTTGGATCCCATGTGGAGACCGGTTCCCGCTCACTGGCTGAGCGCGGTGCAGGCGCAACACCGAGGGTTGCGATCCCGTTGCGGGTCCCCGGTGCGGGAGCAACACCGAGGGTTGCGATCTTGTTACCAGTCAGTAAAAAAGACAAAAAGGAAAAAAAAGAAAAGGTAATACGAATCATTCCATGAATTTTTTGAAGATCCTGTGTATATACAGCTTAATTCAAGGGTTGCGATCTTGTTACCAGTCAGTAAAAAAGACAAAAAGGAAAAAAAAAAAAAAGGTAATACGAATCATTCCATGAATTTTTTGAAGATCCTGTGTATATACAGCTTAATT